AAAAGGAGCAGTGGTGGCGGTGCCCCTTTTTGTCTTACCTACTAGTCACACAGTCTAGTGGCAGCACTGATTGCTTCATAACAATGTGGCTTCACTGCTGAATTTCCAGCCAAAGAGTCTCAAACTCCATCTGACTGAAGTGGCGCTGTTCACACTGAAGGTTGAGGGCTGTGCAGCGATAAGAGCTCTTCTCAGTTATTGTACTTCTGATATAAAATACCAGTCGCCCCTTTCTGCTGTGGCTGTACATTAAATATGAGTTGCTCTACAATTTTATTCACTCTGTCTCATCTCTTGACTTGTCTATTGTTGTCATTAAAACCTCTCTGTATAATTTCCCTCCATGCTTCTGTCATTCTGTCTTCTTCTGTAGGAAAGTTGACAGAATGTAAATGGAAAGACATTTTGCATATAAACCTTTTTAAATACAGTGCAGCAGCCGTCAGATGTATTCAATTCTACACTGCTCAGATCTTAACTTGCAGCATGTGAAATAAAAGAATGATGCTTTTAAGACGCAAAATAAATATATTAATGTCGCACATCAATATTTTTTTCTGCACAACTGACTAACCAAGACACCTCCATTGTTACGCACTCCATTTAATCCATTTACTTGTTTCACAGTTGTCAGACAGGTAGCTGCTGACAGTGAGTGCTACCGTCCACCACTGCAATTACCCATCCGTTAGCATAATATGCTACAGCATGTGAAATACATGTGCACTGGATTAATGGTAATGAACTACTTTCTCCTTTGCAGCATCACTGAACTGTGTCACGTTCAAGAGCAATTATTAGACAAGCATGCCAATACATTTCCACTTGATGATTGCACTTGTTTTTATGGTAATATTCTTTAATCATACCCTGATTTACATAATGCAAAAGCTCTCAACCACGTCTTACTTGAATTATGCAAATGATTGCGCTTCAAGCCATAGGGATGTGATTGGTTTTTCTTTTCTGAGTCCTTTCTTAGAAATTATTTTAAATGGATTTGGGATTAATGCTGACTGTGTCCACCAAAACTACCGCTGTATGTTCACACTTTGGCTGCAAATGAATGCACATTGCATACAGCAGCTCCTAACCTAAAATATTATTGGCTATCTCTAAGCTGATATATTTGGGCTTTCCTGAGGCTCATTGTGCAGATGTAAGCAGACAAATTTCCACTGACAGACACGCACACGGAGACACAACACTAAATGTCAGTGGGTCGAGCTAGGTAAGGTGAAACACTGGGTGAATATGTAACTTTCAGCAGTGTCCACAACAAATCTAGGTCAGACAGTCGTCAGGTGGCCATGGATTTTTTTAGGTCATTGTGTCAGCTGTACACGGAGAGTCAAAGTTTGGGAATAATATAAAAGTCACTGCATCTTCAGATGACCAAAGTGTTGTCACCTTTCATCAGGACACGTCGCCTCGGTCAGTAGACATCCTCTCAAACACAGTCTGCAGTGATCATATGACAAAACATTGTATTCGGTGTCTAAACTCTGTTATTCCCATCACCAGGAATGTCCTTGACGTGAGATTATCCTTAGTAAAGGAGTAGTTTGACATTTTGGAACATGAGATGACATGATTATAATACTGATACCGCTCTCATGTCTGTGCATTAACTATGGGGCTGTAGCCATAGTCTATTAGGTTAGGCTTAAATCAACATAAAGACCAGAAGCAGACAGAAACAGGAAGCACAGCTCAATCCAACAATCTAAAACACGCCAAAAAAAGATTTGCTTCCAAGGTTACTTTCACGGTATGCGTCCCACCCAATATGCACAGTAGTGTTTCTCCTGCTGGCCCCGCCTGCACCCATAGACTTTACATTGTGATGACGTCACAGATTTTTATATTGCGTTTCTCGGGGGCGCCTACTGGCTCACCTGGTAGAGCAGGCAACCCGTGTACAAAGGCTACGTCCTCACTGCAGAAGCCATAGGCTCGATTTGAACCCATGAACTTTACTGCATGTCATCCCCCTCTCTCTCTTCCTTTCACTCTAATAGGTGTCCTGTCTTATACAGGCAAAATAACAAAAAAAATCTTTAAAAAAAAATTGCGTTTCTCAGCTTGAGGAAAGTTTTAAATATAAAACCTCAATGGATTAAAAATGAATAATAAAAAGAGTCATAACTGATCTTGTTTGCAGTTCGAGGTGCCCTGTCAACAGTTTTACAAACTGGTCTATGGGGAAAATGCTTTTTGAGCTTTAGGGGATTTTGTTGATGCAATACTACGAGTGGCCAGTGGGAAAAATTTAAGCCAGAACTGAGTGGTGATCCTGGGTGCCTGATCTTAGTTCAGTATGCAACCATGCTAACATTCTCTAATCAGCAGTAAACATAAAGTACAGCTGAATCTGATGGGAATGCCAATATTTTTGCAGGTATTTAATCAAAAACAAAGTATTGGACAATTTAAAAATATTACCTGACGATGATGGCGTTTGATAGCACGTTAAAGGATCACCAGAGTTACATACCATCTGTGACTCAGTGTTTGGAAAGCCACACAGAGATTTACAGTGAGACCAGTAAAGGGGGGAAATGGAGCATGAGGGAGTCAAGCATTAAGTGCAAGTTAATGTTTGCATGCTATCAGTGTGTGTGCTGTAGTACATATGTGTAATAGCAGGAAGATAGAAATTTCAATGAATCAAGACAGAGAGGGACATGGTTTACTTTGTTTCTCTCTGCACCAGGCAGCAGGTGCAATTCATGTCCCCATACACAGTTTATACATCAATGGCATCAAAGAGCCGTCTGTGACAGTTGTTTCCATTTACGTTCTGCACAACTAGCCACGCTCCACTTCCTCTCCAAATGGCTGACACTCCTGAATTCTCTGTTATACTTCAGATTGATGAAGCCATCTGTCATCTGTTTGAGGTTAGGAGGCAGCGCCCGGCCCTGTACGCTACACGCTACGTGTTATATAAACATATAGTATGTGCACATACATTCACACATACAGTATGTTTCATGTAAAAAAATAATTGCATGCATACTCACATGGCTGTGTCCCAGAGCTGGTTGCAAGCACATACACAAAACACACTGAAACAGACATCAGATAGACATTTAGACAACATCTGACGTAAATCCCGTGTTTGATTTCTGTGAATTGTCCTCCTTCAAACCTTTACTGTCATTTTCAACCATTTTATTTTATTAAAATCACATGTTGTTGAAGCACTGACCTCTGAACTGACACACTAAAATACTGTAAAACTCCATAAACATTTGTTAATGTAAAAGAGATACTGCCAGAGCAAACTGCTAACACAAGTCAGATTAAAGATGAGATCCTTTCTGATGACTTCTGGTCATGTGACTTAACATAAGCTACATGCACATGCCTGCACAAAAAATGCTCACAAAAAAGGAAAACAGTATTTAGATTAATCAGATTTAAATATATCTTTGTGAGTATTTGTTTCTGTTGCAGTTGTGAACAAAATTAGATTTCAGGCCTATAAACAGAGACTCATCAGGTTTTCCACAGAGAGGACACGAGAGGACAAAAATCCCCTTCAGCTGTCATCAGGTTCTTAGAGTTTACTTAACAGAAACTAAAAAGTACAATATCTCTATGAGAAAATGTGGAGTAAAAGTATAAGCATAAGCATAAACGTAACTGTCACAAAACCATTTAAGCCCCGTTCCCGACAAACATTTTCGGTATGGACCCTTATGTTTCCACCTCAAACAGTACACTTAAATGTGGGCGAGGTTGTTGTCAGTCACTGCTCCGTTCAGCACTCACTCATCACCTCATCACTGGTGACACATAGAAATATCTGCACCGCTTTATCGTCCACAGAACGAGGCTACACACCAATATTTTCAGAACAAAATAGAACAGGCTGCAGTGAGAGTCTCTCTCCATGGGATATTTAAAAATAGCAGGTTTATGCATTTAGTCCTTCTCAGGCAAGCTCAGGGGTTTAGTGTTGCTGGAGCCCACAGGAACGACGCTCCACAATGAGGTTTTTTTTTTTCTCCAAGTGAGGATTAGTATATATGGAGTTCACATAACCTGGCTGAAATTAATATATATTAATGCATGAAAATCCACTCATTACTAAAAGTGTATGTCATATAAAAACTAAAGTGATTGTCAAAGTTGTCACAGTGAAATTTAAGGTGTGTTGATTGATTCATGTCATCAACTCATACACTGAGTAACATTACAAGTTAACGCTCCATCTTAAAAGTTGCAGGCAGTCGGCCCAGTGAATTAAGTTAATCTATCTCCGACTCCAGCTGCTGTCAGAGGCAGGAAAACATCCTTTCATTTTATAGCTACAGTAATAAAACTCTCCACAGTATGAATAGTGGCTACATGAGCCTCAAAACCAGCCACAACTCAGCTCTGAGCAGAGTGACCGTCCGCTATTGACCAATCAACAGACTGCAGTGTTCACAGCTCCACCTTTTAGTACCAGATGTGTGTGCTAGGTACCCCAACAGAGGGGGGAGCAAAAATGGCAACGGTATGAAACGGTTGCATTGGTACCATCCACAACTTTTCACAGTGGAAACAGGAAAAGTGTACTGAACGGAACTGTACTGTACTGTTTGGTGGAAACAGGGCCATAGTGATAAGAATTATTCCAACAATAATTGGTATTTTCAGGCAGCTATATAACTATACTATTTGCCAATAGATGTCCCTAAACCCTCCACACTGGACCTTTAAGTAAATGATCTGAGGACTTCTTCCATCATACTGCCAGTATTGGTAAAAACAAGTTCAGGGTGGTGTAGGTGGTGCATTGAGGGGCCATCAGTATCTCTTTAACCATATGGTGTAGCCCAGCAGTTCACCATCCACCATTACCACAAGATACCAAGATGAGACCACGTGCACTGCCCTCCTCCTCCTCCTCCTCTTCCTCCGGCTCGCGCACTGCGCAGCGCTCATTGGTTGGCGCGACAATATAAAGTTCCGCAGTGATTCCCTCACTGACCGCTGCTGCTGTACTTCACTCACTCACTGACTGTCTGAGGAAGAGGAGCAGGGAGAACACAGCAACACAGTCACTGAGAGGATTTACAAAACTTTATCGTTATTATTCCCCCTCGTGTTTCTGTCTAACAGTCTGATCCACCGTCACCATGAAGGAAAGGAGACTCACACAGCCGTTTGTAGCGAGGTGTAAACTCGTGCTGGTCGGAGACGTCCAATGCGGTAAAACTGCGATGTTACAGGTCCTGGCCAAAGACTGCTACCCCGAGGTACGACATATCTGTTATAATAAGGGCAACAGTTATTTTTCTTATGTATTCTGATAATGGAAATGGATGATTTAAAAGTACAGGTTTGTGCAATGAATTTCCCCCTGAAGAAGAATAAATATCAGGCTACTTAAATATCCTCAAGGACCACAAGACTAGACAAGAGTTTTACTTGACTGTAATATAAGATCCCTTTAAGAAATGTTCAGCACTGTATACAGTAAATATATAGTAATCTTATTCATCACTGAAGGTCTATTATTATTATTATTATTATTATTATTATTATTATTATTATTATCAGTCTCACCACTGTCACTTTACATCATCATAATTTTATCTTCATTTATTGCTCTTGTATTGTTCCCATTTTTCTACTTTTGTTCTTTCTTATAAACCTCTTATTATTTGTTTTTACATCCTCTGTGGATTTGTAGCCTACTTATTTCTGTCCTTGCACTGCTGCAACTACCACATTTCCCCTCTGGGGATCAATAAAGGCCAACCTTTTCTTTTCTTATCTTATTATAGTTACAAAACTCCCATGGTGTCACAGAGCTGGTAGTGCTGCTGGATTGACACACATGTGGTGAAGGATATCTGACTGTGGGCTATATCTTCACAGGTTTAGCTCAGTAGTTTAGACAGGTCTAGTGATGGTGTAAGATCACTGATATACTGCAGGTTAATGTTTGAACACTGCTGACCTTGTAAATTGATTTTAAAGGAATGTTAGTCACTGCAAATTTTCCCAAATGATTGTTAGTCGATTAAACACAGTAGTGTTTTACAAATATGGAGATTTGTGTTTTATTCAACATTTGATGGACATTAATTCTTGTTTTGACATTTTACACTCTAAATCCTGGGTCTTCAACAGGGTGCCCGCAACCCCTAGGGGTCGTCATAGGTACTGCAGGGGGGGCTGCCAAATTATTGTTTGATTTTTTTCTCCCAAATATTCAAATATGGCTAAAAATATCAACATGAATCCAACTTATTACAAGCCAAGATTAAAAAAACATTTAATTTAGTTCATAACATTGATGATAGGCTAACTATTGCATGAATCTTTATGCAATCATGTTAGCTAGCTAATGCTAAATCACTGTGCGGCACCTGTCCTTAACACAGAGGCAAACTAGTGAGCTAGCAGTTAGGTACTACTGAAACATATTGACCAATTCACCTTTCACTAAGTCCCACCCCCGGATGCAGACTGACTAATCATACTGTAGCATCAGGCAGGCTTAGACCAGGGTCCGACAACAACACAGCTGTGCTCCATTGATTCAGATTTCCTTCATTTTCAGGCCGGTTTTGTGGATTTGGTGCTAAATGTTGTGCCTGGGGCACGTCGTGTATTAATGATACTCGTTACCTGGAGAGGTTGGAAAAAGATATACGTTTCTTCTCTATAATCTAATGATTATAACAGTGAAACAAAGGCCGACCCTGCTGTACAGGAACCAGTTCATCTGCACGCACTGTGATGCCACACAGCTGGTTCAATATCAGCAGTTTCCCTTTATATTCATTGTCTTGTGTGCCGATCAGCAGTGATGTGGTGGTTCACTTTGACACTGTGATCTGTAGCCTATAGTTCGGCTTTAGCTTCTAACTATCTTTGTCTTTTTAACCTGTTGTTGCTGCTGAGTCAGTTTGACATCCTGGATATATCCTTCAAACACAGACTGTAGACCCCTCTGTCTGCTTCTCTCTGGAATCACTCTTTCATTTTTCCAACAGTATGATTATCTTTCTTCAGGGAGTGCAGTTAGTCCAGTTTAATATGCAACTCAATTTTAAACAACATATACAGCAGGGGGTTCCAGCTCCGTTTCTCTTTCATCTAAGGGGTCATTGGCCTGGAAAACATTAAGATTCCCTGCTCAACATGATGATATATTCGACTTTGACATCTTCACGTGAATAAATGCTAATGAATTTGTGATCGATGCTCCTGAACCCGCTCTTTAATTGTCCATTTGCAGACTTATGTCCCCACTGTGTTTGAGAACTACACGGCCTGTCTGGAGCTTGAAGACCAGCGTGTTGAGCTCAGCCTCTGGGACACATCAGGTGAGGTTTATGCTCTGATTTTCATTATCACCACAATTTAATAAAACTAGTAAATAACAAGGTTGTGATCTTCTCTCAGCTCCAACGTTGACTCACTGCCAATTTAAAATTCTCCCCAAGCTTTTCTTGTTTGTTGAGTCAAGAGCTCAGTTCCAGTAACTATATTCATGGGCTGATTTGTGGGACTTGTTTACCCTCCCAGCAACATCACAGTCCGCCTGGATTCAGGTTACTGTTACTGTAAATGAAGCTCCAGCTCAGTCATTGTTTTACAAAGTGTTGTTGCTGTTTACCCAGACGTCACTATCTGCCGATCCTGTTTTGATGCCGTTAAGCAGCTTTTCACTCGTGTTAAATCTGTTGAGAGATCTTCCTTGGTGGATTGGTGCAGGCAGCGAACAATAGACCTGAGTCACAAGGCTGTTTGGGCAAGTGGGGCCCAAAATTCACAGTTTAGCATTAAAAACAAACAAACAGAATAAAAGAGGAACCCACCTCACATACTGCCAGAACAATTTCATAACAGCGAGTTCAAACTGTCACAAACATTTCAGACAGCTTGGATTCAAAAACCAAGAGGCGGAGTGTCACTAGTGGTTCTTTGAGCTGTATGTATGATGGCTGTAAGCAACAAGTAGGGTATTTACATTATTGATGAATCTGCATTTTATTTTCTTGATTAATCAATGAAAAAATGTGAACAACCTGTAAAATGTTTAAAAAATTGTGAAAAATGTCTATCGCCAGTTTCCCAGAGGTCACAGTGACATTTTCAAATGTCTTGTTTTGTTCAACCAACAGTCAAAAGGCAATAGAGCCTCACGTTAAAAAGCTGGAACAGAGCGGCAACCTCCAGGGCTGAAAAATGAAGCCAACGCCAAGTGTGAGAAACTGCAGTTCCTCTAATGGCCACTTGGGGCTGGCTCTGGAAGCGAGTCAATCCACATAGACTCCCATGTTAAAATGTCTAATTTTACAGCAGCAATAAATGTTTACAGCCTGGTACAAAAATCAGTTTGGGCCTCTATAGCTAATTTACCCATTAGATGTAAAGTAAATCCGTAATTTACATTACGGATTTACATTTCATTGTGGCCACAATGCATCAAATAAGGGTGGGGCCGCTTTCAGTTACAGGCTGTCTGCAAGGCGTCGCTGCAGTCTGTGAGTCAGATCCACTCTTTGCTCTTCCACAGCTCCACCCTCTTGTCCAAATATGGCCACTTCTGACTCCAAAAAACCCAAGATTGTTACGGCCAAAATGCTGTCCACAAACCCCTGGGTGACGTTACAGTAGCTATGTCCACCTTTTTTTCAAAGTCTATTGCTGAAACCAGAAAATTGTCTCACAGCATTTCTGCTTGAAAAGTACATCAAAAAATGATTCAGTTGTCAGAAACAGTTGCTAAATTTATGATGCAGGTAACTCATGTGTCCCACATTATTTACCTACTTTTGCTTTTATAACTTTGTTATCAAATGTGTTTGTTAAGTTCTGAAGCCAACTTTCTTGAGCTTCTGGAATGTATGACTTTTTTTTATGATTTTTAACGTCACTTTTTCCACATAGAGCTCAGAGGTCAGAAGCGTTATGTAAATGTTGTCTACTGACTATAAAAAGAAATAGCAACAATCATTTGAGTCATTTTTCAAGCATGTGTCAAGGATTTCTTGGTTCTACCATCTCTAATGTGAGGATTTACTGATTTTCTCTTTTTTTTATCTTTGTAAATTGACTTTCATTGAGTTCTGGACTGTGTATAGATGAAGGAATTTGAAGACGCCACCTTAAATGAAATGATAATTGGTATTTTTTCACAATTTTCTGACATTTCATAAACAAAAAGATTAATCAATGGGTCAAGAAAACACTTTGCCATAACCTTAGTTGCAGCCCTACATGCAGTTCAGAGAACCATATGTGTCCCACTGACATAATGACCTTAAACATATAGAGAACATATGTAAATAGGATCGATGAGAGATCCACTCCAGTATAGATTCATTTCATAACAGCATTGGCCGGGGCATTGTTTTCAGAGGAAGTCGAGCAGTGCCAGTTGGCCTGCAGAGGGGTTGTTTCACAGGGGAGAGGGGGATGCCTCGTCCATGCAGGGGGTGGAAGTGTGCACGTATGTGTGTGCGTCCTGTCTTACTATGTGTGCAACTGTGCGTGTGTGTGAGCGGCGTACAGTCGCTGTGAACAGAAGGCACAAGTGAGGGATACTGAGTGAAAAGCTATGCATGACCTCCCCACTGCCTTATGGTGTGAGCTGCCTAAAAAAAAAGAAGGTGTTATGTAACTGAAACCAGCGCTGAACTGATGTAGGATTGTGTATTTATCTCCCACGGAGTAAAAACTTTCTGGACAGTCACCCTTTCCAGAGGAAACATTGCATAAGACCTATTTACTTTTGCAACACACACAAACACAGTTCCTGCCAGTCTTTACCATAGTTTATTATCTTTATCTATAACATTTAGGACTGTAACTTAAGTATTTTATTATTGATTCATCTGCTAATTTTTAAAGAAAATATCGAAAAGTTGACATCTTCACATCTTTCTGACCAACAGTCCCAAAAAATAGACTGTATATGAAGATGTAAAAAACGTCACCACTTCAAGCTAAAATATCCTGGATATGGGCGCTGCCATCTTGCGCTTTTGGGGCCACAGTCTGCTCAGTGGTGACTGTGATGTGGTGTGGCGGTATCATGTTCCCACCGATATACCTGCCCAACCAAATGGCGAGCAGTGCCGTTGATTGTGAGCAAACTGATTGACACAAGAAAACAAAGACGTGAACATAATTCAGTTTGATAAGAACCACCTAAAACAACAGAAACCACCTTTGGGAAAAATTTATTTGACCTGTACTTTGAGTTTTTAGTTTGGCTCATGTCCCATCTGCTAACATTGAGAGTGTTGGTTTTATGACCTATACTGCAGCCAGCCACCAGGGGGTGACGGAGATGTTTTGGCTTCACTTTTGTGGGGGCTGTCCAGGCCCTGGGCAACAGCACTGAGCTTTGAAGCCAAATTTCATAGTGGCCAAAGGTGGAATTACAACTCTGAGGTCCTTCACATGATGCCATTGGGCCCAAAAAGACTTTATACCATACACATACGTTGTGAAAGAGACGCCCATTACCCCTCGAAATGACATGTTTCACTATCAGGATTTGATCCATTTGGTCCGATAACATTTCTGAAGTCCAGGAGAGCCGCACTATTAAATCGTTTTCATTTCCATTCAGGTGAGCAGAGGGCTAAACCTGAATTTAGCTGTTTAGCCGTCTTAAGTCTCTAGTTCACTTGCTCTGTGGGCCAAATGATGCAGAAGCTCCGGGTCATGTCATGCCATGGAAATTAAGCTTTTTTGGCTTTGCTCCACTGAGTAGCTTTTATAGGAATGAATAGGGCCCTTCCTCCTACGCTGTATCCTGTTCTCTTAATACATCTGTGGAGCTGTCATGTCGTCTATCTTTATCCGTCTTTATATACAGTCATTGGTCCAAAATGGAAAGATATTCAGTTTACAATCGCAAAAGATCAAGAAAAATGGCAAATTCTTACAATTTAAAATCAGAAACTAAAGAATGTTTGGTATTTTTGCTTGATAAAAGAAAACACAGTATAAAAATAGTCTGTTAATTTCATGGTGATCTGCTAATTGAATAATTGAATTTCCGTTTCCACTCTAAGAGTATTGCTCCAGGCATCTGACTCTGATATGAAATGATCTTTCACATGCAAAACATGTGAGAGGACACGTCACCACAGCTCCATGTGCACCACATGCACTCTGGCAATAAAAAAAAAACCTCAGAGTATTTTTCCAGTTCACGTTGCATCTTTTGTCGAGACACACACAGTCTTGTCTTTTGAGACCAGATCTTTCCATTCGCTTTCTTTCTTTCTTTGAGAGTAGAGAGGGAAGTTTCATAATTGTATCAACTGTTTGCTCAACAGAAAGGGTTGTGTGTGTTTGGTGTGTGTGTGTTTCTGTGTCCAGGCAGGGGGCTGCTAATGTGTGGGAGGTGGTAGGTGCTAGAAGTTGTGTCCTCTTTAGATCTCTCTGCCTCCTCTTTCTCAAGCCTTACATCACCCTGGATAGTTATGTGATGGGCGCTTTGATTCCCTCTAAAAAAAAAAGTTATTGATAGGTTGTAGTTGTGTAAGTAGGCCAGTCAAATATTCTGATAAACTGAGTAAAGCAGAAGCTCTTTTTGAATGTCAGTGCTTTAATATATTGTTATAAAAACATTTAATTAATGCCTCTGGAGAGAATTCATCCAGGCAACGTGATTGTTGGTTAGTTCCGGTAGAAGCTTATTAGAAGTATCTATTCCTGATATAATTATATCCTCTTTTATTTGCAAGGAAAAGCTTCTGGTGCACATTTGGCCCCTGAGGACAGGAGTAGGAAATTAAATCTCAGCGCTGGTGTGTGGGGAGTGATTAGGTGGCAGAGGGAAGACAATAGAGAGCGGACATCCTGTCAGACCGTTTTTAGCACAGGAGCCTTCCTGCGAGGTAAAGGAAAGGTTCCACATATAGCCGCGCTGTTTATGGAAACGTGTGTTTCCTTCACACCATAACTCACATTCTCATAACTGAGGTGTCGTATATATGAGACAACAATCAGGGTAGACTGTCAGAGTGAGGCGATGAATAGTGCAGCCGATTATATCATTTTGAGGATCGGTTTATTCGTGGCTCAGAAGGGATTTGTTGGAAAGTAAAGTCACTGCTGGTTAATAGAATAGAACAGATAGAATAGAAAGCCTTTATTGTTATTGTACAGAGTATACAACAAGATTAGGAGTGCTACATTTGATCAGGTGCCAACAAGTCATTGAAACAAGAAAGTAAAAAAACAGATGACATTGGAAATAAACAGTGTAAAAAAAAAGGCTATATCAAGCTGTTACACATGTAAAATAAATAGTGGATTGCACTGATTATTTAATATTTTTGCGTGACTTTAAGCTCCTGTATCTCCTATCAGAGGGCAGGAGAAAGAAAAGTTTGTGACCAGGGTGGGAACAGTCTTTAATAAAAGGGCCAAGAGCTGCTGTGACTTTGCGCGCCTCCGCTATCTATTCACCTTCAATAAGGTGCATTTTCTGGTTTTCACATACAAGGAATTTGCCTCAGATATTTGGTGCATAAGTCTCACAATAAAGAAAAAACAAGTCAAGAACATAGATTGTTTAAAGTAATGGACGTAGCCATTGTGACGTCACCCATTGGTTTGTGGACTCCGGTTTTGAAGCCTTGAGTTCAGCATTTTGGTCGTCAGCATCTTGAAGTTTTGGAGTCAGAAGTGACCATATTTGAATAAGAGGTTGGAGTTGTGGAGGAGTGAGGAGCAGATCTGACTGGGAGCACAAGGTGACGCAGACAGCCTGTCAGTGAAAGCATCCACACCCTTAATTTTGTAGAACTTCAAGCCTTGTTAATATGTAAACGGGTGAGTTATATAAAAATTCACCAATGGGAAAGGTAGCTCCAGAGACACTAAAATGTTTTTTTTTGTAACAGGCTGTAAACACATTCAAAGTTGGGCGTTCAAACATGGGGGCGTATGGGGATTGACTCACTTCATGAGCCAGCCTCAAGTGGCCATTTGAGGAACTGCAGATTTTGGCACTTCCTTGTTGGCTTCATTTTTCAGCCCCTAAGGTTGCTGCTTGGTCAAGAACAATAAATATAAAATATACATTAACAATAAATATATGTAAAATAGATCTGTCTTAGATCCATCCTTGTACAATTTTCCTATATTCATTCATTATCTGTAAATGTTTAATCGGGACAGCGTTTCAATCCTACTTGGATCTCCATCAGCTGGTTTTTGTTAGCCTTGTACATACGTGATGTACGTATAATTTACTCTCCTTCATCTTGTAATAAGCCTTCAACCATTAATTTAACAACATACGTTTTTTTGTATTCAAAGCAAAGTCTTTTAAATTAAGTTTGTTACTGACTAATAATGGAAAGCTGTGATTGGTGCAGAGTTGCACTGACCGTGACTCAGAGTTATAGTTTACTGGAAAGATTTCTCTCAGTGGGAGGCATCAAGCCTGGTGAAATGATTTGCTCTCTTATCAGTTTGGCAGGCGTGTATGTGACTGTGTTTGTGCGGTGTGAAAGTGAGGAGGACGACTGTGATAGAACATTATAATGGTGTCAGCTGGATTCAGACCATAGAAAGAGATTTTTAGTCTCTGTTTCTGCTGACGAGGGGAAAAACTTCATTAAAGGTTTTCATTTTTAATTATGTTTTGAGCTGTGCCCACCCTCCTAGATCACATTAATAAAATTGTGTTGTCATGTTTTATCTTTGTCTCTTTAGGTTCTCCGTACTACGACAACGTCAGACCCCTCTGCTACAGCGACTCAGATGCAGTGCTCTTATGCTTCGACATCAGCCGACCAGACATAGTAGACAGTGCACTGAAGAAGGTAAGGTTAAGATTTTCAACTTGAATACTTCATTCATCAAGACCTGATATGCGATTTAAATGTTCCCTCATTTTTTTGAGCAGCTTAGTTGCCAACTGTGGAATTACAACTTCTGGGTCCGTCACATGATGACACGGGGCCAAAAAATATTTTTCCCATAGACTTACATTGTGAAAGAAACATCTGTTAACCAGTAGCTACATATTTCTGAGTGTCAAAACCCCCACAAAAAGACTCCTTTCACTGTCAGAATTTGATCTATTCGGTCCCATAACCTTTTTGAAAGTCTACAAGAGCCACATGATTAAATCATTTTATCCCCAGTCAAGTTAGCAGAGCGCTAATCGGAAGTAGCCAGCAAAAGTCTCTAGTGCGCCTGCTCCATGGGCCCAACAATACGGAAGATTCAGGTAATTTTACATCTGGGAAGTTGAACTTTTTCGGCTTCTTGCACCACTGAAAAACTTTCACAGGAATGAACATGGCCCCGCCTCCAACACTTTATCCCTCTCTCCTTACACATCCATTGTTGTATCATTTACTAAAAGACTCTTAAGTGAAACCTGTTTCTCTTCCCCTCGCAGTGGAAAGCAGAGATTCAGGACTTCTGTCCCAGCACACGGATCCTACTAATAGGTTGCAAGACAGACCTGCGCACAGACGTATGCACGCGCATGGAGCTGTCCAATCAGAAACAGACTCCCATCTCTTATGAACAGGTTTGTTCCATGACTTCTCTTTCTTCCTCTGTGTATCTATTTAGGTTTCTGTCTCCTGTCTAGACTGGACAGTCACAGAAATCCCCTTTTGTTTTTAAGGAATACTTAAACGAATACTACTTAATATAAATTATTCATCCTGTGTTAAAATAAACGTTAAATTTGTGAAGAAAACTGTTTTTCTCACATACCTCTACAGTGAACAGAGAATATGAAAACTGAGAAAATTCTTGATTGATTAAATGATGAAATCATCCATTCACAAACTCTCATACAACTTGTGTAATAAGATAAGATAAGATAAGATAAGATATATTTTATTGATCCTCCAGGGGGGAAATTCAAGTATCACAGCAGCACAAGACAAAATCAAAGGACATTAAATAGAATAAGATTAAAGAGAAAAAATAAAAAGTAAAAATTAAGATAATAGATAAATAAAAGATGAAATAAAATTGCTACATCAGATGAATAAAGTGACTAAAAAATGGCAGACAAAGAGTTGAATGAAATAAAGTGACAGATGGCAGATAAAGTGTCATATTGGACGGATGCAAGATAAGTCCGTTCAGAGCTGGATGTAGCTTAAGCCAAACCGCTGTTGTACAGTCTGATGGCGGTGGGCACAAAAGAACATCTGAATCGTTCAGTTCTGCACCGGGGTGGGATAATCTGCTGGCTGAATGAGCCGCCCATCAGCCACAGCTCGTCATGCAGGGGGTGAGAAGGATTGTCCAGGATTGCACAGATTTTGTCCTTCACCCTCCTCTCAGCCACTGTCTCCAGACTGTCCAGGTCCAGTCCCACCACAGACAACAACAACAACAAGCAACAACAAGCTTGTTGAGCCTGTTGACCTCACCAGTCTTAACTCCACCCCACCAGCACATTACAGCAACATAAAGAGTCTCACACACAGACCAGTAGTGTGCCTGGGAAGGTGCATGCTTTCACCTCTGCTAGTAAGCTTTTGGCAAAAATGCATGCATTTGGGAAGTACACAGCACACAACTGGATAAATGAGACTTGGATTATACTGCACGAGTTGTGTGGGAGTTTGGAAACAGTTCTGCTCTTGTAAACACGGACCCCAGTGACTTAAATTCATTAGGAATTTTCTGTTTTTTGGATTCTTTGTTCACTGTGGAGGCAATACATAACACAGGATGAGTGCTTGATGTATTAATTATCATTTTGTGGTTTAAGTATTCCTTTAATCTACCTGAGCTCAATGTATATATTTTTCCTTCACATCGCAGGGTTCGTCCTTGGCCAAGCAGCTCGGAGCAGAGGCTTATCTGGAGTGCTCAGCCTTCACATCCGAGAAAAGCATCCACAGTGTTTTCCGTACTGCGGCGCTGGCCTGCATGAACAAACTCCAGGCTGCCAATAAACCCAGCCCTGTCCGCCGCCTCTCCAAGAGACTCCTACACCTGCCCAGCAGGACAGAGCTCCTCTCCTCCACCTTTAGCAAGGACAAGTCCAAGAGCTGCTCCATCATGTGAATACTGCTGAGCTCATGCAAAGCAAGGACACGCAGGTGGTTCCAGCGAGGGGTTCGGGGTGTGCAAGGGAAAGAGAGCACTGATCTCTACAAAGCGTCTTTCTCCTTTGCAGCATCCTCCCCAAACTTCCTGTCAGCCACTTCAAAAAAAATGTGCTCCACTCTCTATATTCAACTCTGACACTGAAGTTTTGATCATGACATATCACCAGCACACAGTGCAGAGACAGAGTGAAATGTTTGATGTTGAAAATATTTCTGATGTATTAAATATGTACAAAGAGAGATTATAACAGGCACTTTAAAACCTGTTAGATTCATCACATAAAGGTTGCTGTCAGAGCTTAAATAAGGTCATACCTCCTCTTCTCCAAGTGGTTGTAAACGCTGCATTTGACTGCATTACCCTCATTTGAAATTCTGATAGCGGTGCCCTTTCCCATCCATCTCTTTATCTGAATGTCTCTTTAAGGTCACGCTATGGGCTGAGTGACGAGATGAAATGTAAAATCTGACAGTGACAGGAAGTGGTACCTACAGAAATGCGGCTTGGGGAATTTAAAACAGCAGAAATTACTCCCCCGTTGACCCCTCACGGTATTTCGTTTAGAAATTAAAGCTGACAGTGGAGGAAAAAAGGGGTAGAGAAGGGAGGGATTTGGCAAAGCAGAGTGTTCATTTGCAAAGACAGTCGAAGGACGAACCAAGAGCACATCTGAAGGAACGCAGTGTGACTCAGCACTCACATGAGCCACCAAACAGTCAAGGGGTGGACACACTGGGACAAAAACAAACACACAATCCTGGGCCATGTAAAGACCAGCTGAGCATGTTTTTGTCAGATCTCCTTTCATCAACCAGTACCACAGCAGTCTTTAATTTTTCAGTGTTATTAATCCTAAGGCTTGATTTTAGTGATGTTACATTAATGATGCATCATCTCACTGTTCCCTGATACTTTAAGAGCTGTTTAATAGATACCAGCGTTTCATCCAGCATTTTTTTCTTGGTCTTTAAAAGATAAAAACATAAAAGATTTCTTTGCAAAACTGTTTTTATACCAAAATGAGTCAGAAGAAGTCTTTGTTTTTTTTAATCCTCTGCCTCATGGATATATAAAATAGTCCGCAGCTTTTAACTTTGTGGACTGCAAATATGGGCCTTTAAACAAGCTCCACGGTGCTTTGTTAGGCTGATTATTGTTAAAGGGAGAGTTCACTCCTCAATCTAAAATACATTTTTTTCTCCTACATGTAGTCCTATTTATCAGTCTTGATTGTTTTGGTGTGAGTTGCTGAGTGTTGGAGAAATCGGCTGTAGAGATGTCTGCCTTCTCTTGAATATATTGTGCTCAAAGTGGCAAAAAATGCATTTGAAAAATTCAACAGCAATGTCTCCTTCCAGAATTCATGACCCAGTTAATCCAAAGACCTTATTGTGACCAGTTTCATGTAGGAACTATTTTCTTTTTACCGAACTACACCCAACAACCGTATCACTGCACAGAAGGAAGTGGGCATCTACTCATGAATGAGAGGCTTGTATTTGTGACAGCGCGAGATGTAAACATTAATCAAACATTAGCTAGCTCAGTAGTGCTAGGTGAGCTAGCCTTAACGGTTGATTATCAGCTAATCTCCGGAAGCTAGCAATGTCTGCTCAGTGATACGGTTGGTAAGTGTAGTTTGGTAGAAAGAAAACTGCTCACAACAAGGTCATGATTTCTGGACAAAGACTTGCTGCTGAGTTTTTCACATGTATTTTTTGGCACTTTGAGCACCGCAAGCTAAGTGCCATCTAGTTCCATTGTATTGGAGAGAACGCAGACATCTCTACAGCTGATATCTCCAACACTGTGCAACTCACACCAAAACAATCTAGACTGATAAATAGCACTACAGGTAAGAGGAAAAATATGTATTATTGATTTTGGGGTGAAGTGTCCCTTTAACAGTTATCCAAAATGCACCTGCTGACATTTCCAGCCTGGATAGCTGCATTAACACTAAATGTCCCTGAGATGATCTGTGATTGGTGGGAAAGGTTGAATTGAATCACATGAACAGGCTGGACCTGTTTGGAGAAAGATTTTTCTTCCTTTTTATGCTTTAAAAAATATTTTTATTTTTCAACTTCCCTAAAAAAAAAGTATTCTTGACATTTTCCATTTCTTAAATAGATTTTTTTTCTGGATGTTTCTACTTGCTTGTGGCCGTCTTTGGTGTTTCTAATTTTTTTGTAGCTGTTGATGTTGTTCTTGTATTCACTTGAGTCTTCTGGCATTAGCGGCTGTTGACAGCTCAGCTAATGGAGGACTTGATGATTTGTAGGTCTGCACCGAGAAGCCCGGAGTTCTCTGGATGTACAGAACACTGGAATTTTGCGTGTTGCCTAGCAACAGTGTGAGCAGGGGCAGGCGTGAGCGGGGCTCCTGCCTCACAGAGAGACAGGGAGGGAGGCAGGGAGGGAGGGAGGGATGGCTCTCCGAGAGGGCGCCTCACCTTTTATTTGTAGCATTAGACGAGGAGCCACTGAAAAGGTGACGGCTGGACATTTCAGGGAGTGGCAGACTGCTCGTGATCTCCACATGGTTTTAAAGACCCCACGCTGGTAGCAGCCACGTGTGGGTTGTTGGAAACAACAGGCCGTCTAAAACACGTCTCTGTAGCTTTGCTTCAGTTGTTATTTCAAACAAAGCTCTGTTTGGTTCAATATAAAGCTGTCATTTCACTTTTTCTCTCTTGCTCGTTTTTTTTTAACAGACTTGTTTGGTTGTACATATCCTTCTTAATAAAACTGTTTATTATAAATCACTAAACAGAATGTTACTGAGGCAAAACAAAATGGTTGTGTCAAGTTGCCTATTACGGCTTAAATTACTGACTGGATTCTGTATTTGTTATTGTTATATGCTTTCTTTAAATCTTTATTTAAATAAATATGTCTGAAGATCATTTACAAGTCAGTGTTTATTTCTGCTTAAGTTCAGGGGTGCCTAAAATTTGTGTGGGCCGGACAAGTAAAACCATTGCATAATAACTTGTAAATAACAACACCTCCAAATGTTTCTTTGAAGAAAGTTGTGAAAACAGAAGATGAGCAGCCTGAGGTGTCTTCAGAAAAATGAGTGCAACTTCATTGTCGTTTTTTTAAAAGTCTGTTATTACGTGTGCATTTTTCTACTCATTTCTATTCCTGTGTCATAATGCTGACACCAAACTAAACTTAAACCTACTGAGTAAGCAAGTTAAATGATCTTGGCCACTTACAAATCAAAGGTTTTTTGTATGTAATGTTTGGATGTCTATAATGTAGGCTACATATTTGTTTGTTCAGAGTCCAGTGTATAAGATTTTAGGAAGATTTAGTGGCATCTTGCAGTGAGGACTGCAGATTACAACCAGCTGAAACTTCTCCTGGTTATAATAATTATTATTATATAAAGTTATAATAATTCCCTCAGTGTTCATTGCTCAGGAGGTTTTTAACAGGAGCTGAAATATCTACAGAGGTCATTTCCTCTCCAAAAGGACAGGATAAGATAGACCTATATCGTCCCAGAAGGAAATCTGCCTTGGACTTCACAGTGTCTGCAGTTAAAAACAGTAAAAACAACAATAAAAACAATAGATACACACCCAGCTTCATCATAATAAAAAATGCACACATATTACAATAACACTCTGTATCATCTGCCTGAGGGGAGGAGCTGATATTCAGGTTGAAGAGCATGAGTTGGATCTGAGATGATTTTTTGTGCCTGTCTGATAATGGTTTGTTAAAAAATATCTTGAAGACTGGGATTGTTGACGGACTCCCATAATCTTCATGGCTGTCTGTATACGTTGGACATGGGGTCTCATTGATAAAACAGCGTCTAGTATCCATACTAAAAATATAAGTACGGACAAAAGCCAAAAATATTTGACAATTTCTGCAATCAGGCTTCCACCTCATCATCTGTGTCACCTATCTCCCATCTCCAAAATGTTGGTGAGCATTGGTCAGTTTAGCAGGAGCCATATTATCCGCAGAGATCCCCTTCTCTCTAGAGCACACAGACCTGGTGATTCAAACCAGGAAAAACACTAAAATAAAGCACTGTCACATCTAAGAAACTGTTTTTCCCTCTCTCGACACAGAGGGGTCAAGAACTATGATGGTTGATGGGAAAACGTGAATGGTCCTATCCAGAGCCAGTGTTCGGTTTGTATGTTCTGGGCTACCATAGAAACATGGTGGTGCAACAAGGTGATCTCCATAGACGAAGACCTGCTCTCTTTGTTAATATCAACAGCTCATTTTGAGTTAACTAAAACACAACAACTCTTATTTTCAGGTGATTATACACAAATAAAGAAAACATACTTATTATTTTGTATTTCATTTCTGCCAATATATCCCCCTAAATTCTTAACACTGGACCTTTAAACCACATGTGATTTATGTGTTGGACCCCAGGAAGACTAGCCGATGTCAAGGCATTAGCTGATAGAGTGCCCCAAGAAGGAGTCCTAAAGCCCAGAAATTAGTTAGCATTTTAGTACTCCTGGTTCCCTTCCCTTCTCGAAGTCAGTGGGTTTTTTTTAATGGGTTTTTGGTTAGATGCCTGATATAAGGTCTATAGTTAACATAAGCTGAAGGGACTTTTACGTTTTGTTCTACAATATAAAATATGTTGGTAAATACCCCACTCAGGAATTTTGAAACCTTTATGTGTCTTAAGACAGCAATAGGTTGCTAAAAAGTAGCTTAATGACACTACATAGTGTCATCATTCCAAACACGGCTTTACAGCCTTGTTGTGGTAGCTACCTTGAAGTCATGCGATTGTGGTGTACGTTTTGACTAAGGCTTTTTATTTCCGCTGATTGCATTTAGGCTTAAAAAATCATAAAAGTGTAATATTATCTTGCTCAACAAAACATGTATCATTCCAAGTATCATAATGTTTGTTTGCCACAGAGCTTTACAATTACACTTGTAGCCCTAATTTCACCACCTTACATCGCAACACCTGCACTGTCAACCACCAAAATCTGCACTACCATCATAAGCATATCTACTTTAGTAATAACTCTCTGTAGTTGTCCTGAGACTAACACTAACTTCCACGTGGGCCTACAGGAAATGTTATCCCTGCAGCACTCTATGGGGATCCTAATAAATGAACTAATCTAAAAGTTTTGGCAGTGCCTTCATAACAGGGTTTCACCAACATTGTTTTAAAATACAAGTCTGATACAGACTTTTGTACTGAAGCCGCTGATTGACAATATTTTGTACCATGTTTAATATTTTTAAATATATCTACAATACTCATGTTTTTTCAGAAAGCTGTGGTCAGAGTGGAAAAGCCTCTGAGGCAGTACTTTACATGAAGAAGGCCCCTCCCTGTTTAACTTGCTCCTGAAACCTGGCACATTTCAGCCTTTGTGAGTGCATCAATATTAGGTATGCAAAGGTATCTAGTGGGCCAGTTGTGGCCTGCAGGTCGTATGTTCGGCATCCCTGCTGTAGGCCATGAATGGATTTCGTGTAGATGAGGTCAAGGAGCTGTATCATATTAAAATAAGATTATTTTGGTAACAATCAAATTCAAGGCTCCCTGAGAGAAAAAAGGACTGATAGCTTGGCAGCACATTGTCTATTTTGTCTTAACAAAGAATGATAACATACTTATTTCTCAGGTCAGGGACACAGCATTTCACTTCACACTAAAAATCCATGATACAGAGAAGACATTATTCTCCTGTATGTGTTAAGGGGAACTGATACTGACTGCTTTAGCTCTGGTTTACAATGAAATGCAGTCAGGTTTGTATTCATAAAGATTTTTGGAGATCAAACTGAACTTTTTTGTTCAGCCTCTATGGACTGTGCGGCCTACAACTAAACGATGACGGCAGCTACACAGTATGGTGTCAAAACAAGCCCGTGGATGTTATACCACTGAGGCGTGAACACAGCCTTAAGGGGTCATCCCTTCCCCCAGCACACATATACACACACCCACATGTCCAATGCCACATGCATACCTCATGTTACATACATGATTACTTTTGAAAACTTGCCACTTTGTGTTGTTTTGTAAAAGGGGGTGTTGTTGTTGGATTTCGATGTTGTCCTACTTGAATAGCCCATTGGAGTCACAACTTCATGAAGTTTGTGTGTAAAGTCCTTCAAGGTCTTATATAGTGATTTACTGAATTGTGTTGGACCTTTAGAAATTTATTGAATTTTTACTCAAAGATCCAGTGTGTGTGATGTAGAGGAAAATATTGGAAGGAGATTCCTTGTGTTTTCGTTACCTTAGAATGAGCTACTGATATCTACATACAGTCCTCTTCATGGATGTATAAAGAGACCTGGATACAGCATGAATGGCGGGGCCCCGTTCACTCCTATGAAGGTTGCTCAGTGGATCATGAAGCTAAAAAGGTTCAACTCCCGCGTATAAAATTGCCCAGATGATTGGCACTACTTCTGCAGTAGAGCAGGCACACTAGAGTCATTTCATTTCACAGGGGTTTTGACATTCAAAAAAATGTATCCACTGATTTGCAGACATCTCTTTCACAATGTTAGTAAATAGAAAAAAAGTATTTTTGGGCCACGCAGCACCATATGCTGATATAATTACAATTTGGCCACTACAGAATTAGCTTCAAAGCCTGAACAAACACCCAAAAAACTTTATAGCTTCCTGTTTTACTTCTGCAGTATGCCGCCAACTG